CATGGAGCACTGGGTGTTATGCACAAACAATGAATCATGGAACACTACATCAAAAACTAATGATGTAAGGTATGGTGATTAACATAACATAATAAAATAAAATTTAAAAAAAAAAAGAATTAGGCCCATTCATTACTTTTAGGGAAAGTCTGAGCAGAACAAGGCAGCTTAGTAAATAGTGATGGTGAGCTTTATAAACAAAGCAAAACATCTGCCTCCTTCTCACAATGCATGAGGTCATCTGAGTTAGCAACTGTACGTATTTTTGCATGTTAAACCTATGCACAGTAGCATGTTTTTGTTGCTTTCTTTCTCTAATTGCAAATTGAACCAAACGAGCAACGTGGAAAAGGGGGAAGGCAGTTTCATTTAAAAAATGTACAGACTTGTAGCCTGAAGTCAGGACCCTTTTGATTGTTTAAACCTCAAAGCAGTTCATTGTCCTTTGCCTCTTACAAATATGCACAGCTGTCAGAAGTTGCTAAAATGGGTGTGTTTCACCAGGTCTGGGAATCCCAGGCACTCATCAGCAGTTCTAATTCTTTGACTTATTTTACTGGCCGCAATGACCCCTTTATATTAAAGGCACAAGTTTGGTGATTTGGGGGCAATTAAGATAAGCAGGTCATCGGGTCATTAGGAATCAGCCTTGGAGAAAAAAAGCACCTGTTTATTTCTTTTAAAGAACTAGAAGGAAACCCCCCCCAACGGAAGTGAGATTTGTTTAGACCCTCCAGGTGTTGGGGGTGGGAGAATATGGGCTGTTATGAATAATGCAGAGCAAATTGTAAGGAAATGCTAATCAAAAGAAAGTGGTAAGATCCTCAGCCAGGGGAAGGGAGTAAAAGGATGTCCTTGGAGTTAAGGTTCACTTAACCATTTTGCCTTTCTTAAACCTCCATTTCCACTTAAGAGAAACTTTCTAGATAAATGCAAAAGGAGTTTGTCAGAGATTGGAGAAATGTTTAAATAAGAAGTTAAAACCTACTGTTAGGGTATTTGAGCCATTTTTGGTGAAATCACATGAATATTTTGAGTTCATGAAGCCCAAACTGTATACAAGCACAAGCAACTAGAAGTACAGTCCCTGGGGCCAGGCCACCTTGGTTTGAGTCTCAGATCCAACATTAACTAGCTGGGTAATCTCTGGTAAATCAGGTAAC